TTAAAGAGTAAATGAATGAAAAATAAAACACAACATTTAGGGAAAAGTGAATTCATGTTTCTAGATAAATGAGTCCTGTTTTAGGCAAAATAGTGCAATAGTCCTATATGCCTTTCTCAGACTAAGTTCAAAAAACTGAATAATTCAAATTGATTCCGATACTCAAAATGAGAGCCAATTCTGGCAGTTAAACCTATTTTCCTCTCTCTATAAGGGCATTTTGATTCACTATAGAATGAGGCATGTAAGTTACTGTATTCAATGTGTGTAGTGAACAACTTTAATTGAATCAAGTAAGAATCGAGTAAGTAGTAATAATAAAAACTACATGTGTGGTTCAGTTGGTTAGAGTGTCATCCGTATACCAAAAGGTGGTGGAATTCGATCCTCATCGAGGCATGTACACGAGGCAACAGATTGATGTTTCTCTCTCTCCCTTCCTCTCTAAAAAAGTCAGTAGATACATAGATAGATGATAGATAGATAGATAGATACACAGACAGACAAATAATGGCTCTATTTTTCAAACAAACAAACAAAAACTACCTTTCTGGGATGTACTTACTTTTAAAATAGCGGGCATGGCTGCCTGCATTGAAAACGTCTCTGCAAAAAGCCTGTAGAGGGCTTCCTTCATAAAACATGACCTATCCCTGTACTGGCTCAATGCTTCTGAAATCTGAATCACATTGGCTCCTCCAGCAACCTAAAAAACAAAGATGTTACCAATAGGTTTCACTGTTCATCTTCAAGTATAGGCTTTTAGGGGCCTCAAGTGTTTGAAACATTAAAGCCAAAATGAGGAACATTCTTCAACAATGCCAACAATTGGCCCAGCCAGGTAGCTCAGTTGGTTAGTGTCATCCTGATATGCCACGGTGGTGGGTTCGATCCCCAGTCAGGACATATAAAAGAAATAGCCAGTGAATGCATACAAAAATGGAACAAATCAATGTTTCACTCTTTCTAAACTTAACCAATCAATAAAAATATATATCTAAAATTAAAAAAAAACAAAGCTTGTCTGTATTCTTCAAAAACATCAATGTCACAAAGGACAGTAAGGACTAAGAAACTCTTCCAGATTAAATTACAGAGATACTAGAGGCCCGATGCATGAAATTAGTGCACTGGACAGGGATGGGTTGGGGTGGGGGGGATGGTCAGTCTCTCAGCCCAGCCTGCACCCACTTGCAATCCAGGAGCCCTGGGGAGATGTCCGACTGACAGTTTAAACCAGCCGTGGGCAAACTACGGGCCGAAGGCTGGATCCCGGCCCGTGTGAAATGAATAAAACTAAAAAAAAAAAAAAAAAGACCGTACCCTTTTATGTATGATGTTTACTTTGAATTTATATTAGTTCACACAAACACTCCATCCATGCTTTTGTTCCGGCCCTCCGGTCCAGTTTAAGAACCCATTGTGGCCCTCGGGTCAAAAAGTTTGCCCACCCCTGGTTTAGACCTACTCCCCACA